CGAATATGACGTAGGCAAGGACATGCGCAAGCTGAACGAGTTTTAGACAATTGATGAGCATACCCTTGTATTTTTATCATGAAATACGCTATTAGTTTCGACTTGTAGTTGTACAACAGCTTTAATGTGCACTGAGTGCGCACCGATTCTGCCAGTGAAATACGCTATTAGTTTCGACTTGTAGGTGTAGGCATGCGGCTTGTCACTTGCCCAGTCAGCCCAGTTGTCGACAGTTGTCGATGATTATCGACTTACGATTGTTGATTGCCGTTTTCAATATTACAGTTTTCCACGTTCTGTTACTTGCAGAACGTTATTTTAGAAAGTTTGTAGTACGTTGCATTTTGTTGCATTTATACCGAATAAGGTATTTATCGTCGAGGAAACGAGTTTTTATTTTGTAAAATATATCGTAAATTTGAGATATGTTATCGTTTATAGACTTATTGCAGTATGTAACATACCACATGTTACATACATAACAGAGTTATAGTGTTTTTCATTAACAGAACTAGTGCACAAATCAACATAAAGATGTACGTTTAATAAAAATATAGAAATGAATTAAACCGTGAAATATTCAATACATTTTATTGTACTATTTAATAAATACGCACTGGGTATTTTGTTAATTGAAATATCTCGCTTTTACATTTATATTATTCTAGAACAGCTGTGAACTTTAATGTGCATTGAATGCGCATTAGTTCTGTCAGTGAAGAACTCTATTAATTACTTACAATATTTTATAATTAAGTTTGTATTTTTTATATATCACATATGGCTTCTTATAGCATAAAAAAATACTATAAAATTATAATTCAATTATATATATATATAAAACATTTTTTGTAGGTTCTTCAGTGATATACTTCTATCAAATAATTTTATCAATATGTCAGAGAAAGTATCAGTATCAGGTAAGTTGCATCAGACTGATGTAATAATAGTGGCTGTGTTCAATTATACGCATAATGACGTACATGAGGTATCACGTTTAATTTCGTGAACAACAATGATAAAATGATACCTTGTGCACATTACATGTGAAATGGATCGCAGCCAGTGATAACTGCAGCAAAACATGATAATAAGAATACAAATGATAGTATAAAGCTATATATGTATCTATAGTTAATTTTTTATGTATATTATAATATTAGCAGTATAATTAAATAAGTACCCAATAAATATTTTACAAGGTATCTATACATCAGACAAGCATGGTAATGATGAGACAGGAGATGGTTCAGAGAGTAACCCCTTTAAAACTATCTTGAGAGCGATGCGTCATGCCAATAAGGAACCTTTTCCAATCATCTATCAGGACTCTCGAGAAAGCAACAAAAAATACGAACCAGCATCTAAGTCTCAATTAAAGAAAACACAGAAGATTTGGGTTAGAGAACAGTATAAGAAAGACGAGAAGGAAAAGAAATTATTGGAAGATGAAGAAAAGAGATTAAAAAATCTTGACGAGGCTAAATCAATTGTTATAGAAGAGGATAAGACTCTACCAGAAGCAAAAAAAATAAAGATAAAACAAGCTGTTGATCACAGAGATCAAAGAGTTAAGCTATATGGATGGGTGCATAGACTAAGACGGCAAGGTATACAATATAATTGAATTTATTTCTATCGTGATAATTTATTGAGCAATTTGTACTATAGGCAAAGCCCTCATGTTCATCACATTGCGAGATGGAACAGGTTTTCTGCAGTGTGTACTGACTGATAAACTTTGTCAAACATACAATGCCTTGATCCTTGCCACGGAAGCTGCTGTTCAACTGGTTGGAATCTTGAAAGCTGTTCCTGAAGGGAAAAATGTACATTTGACATTTAATTAGTACATAATATATAAATCATTTTTTTATGTACTGTTTATTTGGATAATGATATGTTTATACATTATTTATTTAATTTCAGGCACCTGGTGGTCACGAATTATCTGTTGATTATTGGGAACTTATTGGACCGTCACCTCCTGGTGGTGCTGATTCAATTTTGAACGAAGAAGCTCTTCCTGACGTACAATTGGACAATAGGCATATAATGATTCGAGGCGAAAATGTATAATAGAATTTTAATGCTCTTATAGAGAACTTTTAATATAATCTGTTAAATTTAAATCAATATTCATTCTGCAATTAGATCTTTGGTATATGTATTATCAATTTTTTTCAGACATCAAGAATCTTGATCATGAGATCTATATTAACGCAAGCAGTCAGAGATCATTATAAAGATCGTGGTTATTATGAAGTAACTCCTCCAACTTTGGTGCAAACCCAAGTAGAAGGTGGTTCCACTCTTTTCAAATTAGATTATTTTGGGTATGTATAAATAAAATTATTTATTAACCGCGCAGTACAAGAGTCAATTGACTAATGTTTTCAGAGAAACTGCTTTTCTTACTCAGAGTTCTCAATTATATCTTGAAACGTGTATTCCAGCGATGGGAGATGTATATTGCATTGCCCAATCATATCGGGCAGAGCAATCGAGAACACGTCGCCACCTTGCTGAGTTTGTATACAAATAGTTCTTTGTATATATTAAGTTTGTATACAAATAGTTCTTTGTATATATTAAAGAAATTAAAATAGATACCTGCTTTTTTTGGTAACTATTTTTTAAATATCAAATTTTTAGATACACGCATATCGAGGCAGAATGTCCATTTATTACATTTGATGATCTACTTAATCGATTAGAAGATTTAATTTGCGACGTAGTTGAGCGAGTTCTGAAATCGTCTCTCGGTCATCTTGTCAAAGAATTGAATCCGAACTTTCAAGTGCCTAAGAAGCCTTTCAAACGAATGAATTACAGTGATGCAATTGAATATCTGAGAGAAAATAATATCACGAAAGAAGATGGCAGCTTTTATGAGTTTGGAGAAGTATGAATTAAGATCTCTTACAATATCTTTCTAGATAAAATATATAGTTGTTATCGTCTTTTATAGGACATTCCAGAAATGCCAGAAAGGAAAATGACTGACGCTATCAATGAGCCAATAATGCTTTGTCGGTTTCCCGCTGAAATTAAATCGTTTTACATGCAACGTTGCAAGGATGATGAACACTTAACAGAGTCTGTCGACGTACTTTTACCAAACGTAGGTGAAATTGTGGGCGGTTCAATGCGTACCTGGGATTACGAGGAGTTGAAGGAAGGTTACAAACGTGAAAACATTGATCCGACTCCATACTACTGGTATACAGACCAGGTAAATATGAAGAAAATAAATTCTAAACTGTATTTTGAATAATATTATAAATCGAGCAATTATGTTACTTTATAGCGGAAGTATGGATCTTGTCCTCACGGCGGTTATGGATTGGGATTAGAACGACTTTTGTGCTGGTTGTTGAACAGGTATCACATACGTGAGGTATGCTTATATCCGCGTTTTTTGGAGCGTTGTCGTCCATAAAAGAATATCAATATATATGAGAATATCAATATTAAGTCGATATGCACATTACAATAGAGATACGTTCTGCTTTTTCCTATTAGAATATAAATTACAGTACTGTGTTATATTCAAAAATATTTTATAAATAATATCAATTATAACGAAAAAACTTATGGAAAATCACTTAAATAAAAGGATTATGTATAATCAAAATGTATTTCGAATATCCATTATTCTCCATCCTTATGCAAAATATCATGTATTATTGTAATTTTAACAATAATACAATATTTGTATAATGAATAATATACATATGTTGTCAAAAGCTGGATATTTCTGATACTTATAATTTGCACATATTTATTGTATAATCGAGTATACAATGCCATCGACTGTGTATATATACAGTGGTTCAAATAAAAATTCACATAAAACATTACATAATCATATGTATATGCATTGTATAAATACTGACTTTGTTTTTATATAGAAAGTTTCATAATATTCCATGACAGAAAGTTGCTTAAAATTATTATTAGGCGATTATATAAATTATTTATTCTTTCTGTAATAATTATACGGTATAGATTTTGTAATTTTGAAATAAAGTGCAAAAGTTGATAAGTATCTGTATAAGTGCATTAATGTGTAAATCAAACGGATTTAACTTGATTATATATGTATATATATGAAAACCGATAAAAGTGTCATTCAACAAGTGTATTTAACAAAAATAAATCCTTTGTTATAGCTCATAATTTTAGGTATATATACTTTATAACATAATCATACTAGTAACAATTACTTGCGAAAAATTTATAGCGACAGAAACAATACTAATTTAAAAATTATGGCGTACATATCTTCAAATAAGTTTATATTGAACGGTGCTTGATCACAATTCGCGTGATATTTACAAAACTGGATATGAGAAAAATACATTTATCTAGCCATCTGTGAAATATATGAAGTTGTTTAAATAGATTTAAATAATTTTTAAAAAAGTAATCCTTGAGGCTGTTATTCTATCATTTGCTGATCGCCGATTTTAAATAATTCTCTCTCATGAAGTAATTATATTACACTTTCCAGATAAAGAGATACAAAGAGTTTATTAGAAGGCAACACAGATTTCAAGCTCTGTATTTTACTCATTATCCAAAATTGTCCGTCGTGTTTTACATATCTTACGAATATATTGTATATTATATATAGTAGCGATGAGACGAAAAAGCATCGAAGTGGGGTATCTTGAATACATGATGATCCGTTCGAACTAATTTATCAAACTATATTACAGAACAATAACTTACATTACGCACGCACTGTCCCTATTTCAACAAATAATACACAGAAAGTTTCTTATTAACACAAAGAAACATCTCGTTTTCCTATGGTCAATAACCGTTATGAAAATCGGCTAAATCGTCTTTAAATTATCCGCCGCTAAACAGTAGAATTCATTAACTGATCTTTATATAAATACATATATTACATATTAAAATATGAAGGTACGTGAAGATTATTACATATCATTTATCGAATCGTTTAATATTACTTTCATGTGAAAGGAATGATCATTAGTATTATTATATGCTGCTCCGTACGAAATCCACTTTAGGAAAAACACAGTGCTGTTTCCGCAGCCTTGTCGGCGCTACAGTTATTTGTGTGTCTGCTCGCTGTTTTAGTTTTCTTTTTTTTTTCTGTTTTTCTTAGATCGGGGAAACACTCTGAGACTCTATCTAAGATTATAGATTTTACATTTTACTATATTTAGACTATAAGAGCTTGAGTTTTGGACAACAACAACAATATTCGTGCAGAATTCACTACTTTATTATGTAATAAAGTAGCTCTCGATGAAACGATATATATATATTTATAAATGTAACACCCGACATATTAGCTTGTTACAACACACTAGCCATGCAAAGAGATGCCGTACCGTTTGCACGGTTCGTATGTAAAAGTAGTGGATTATATATATATATATATCAATAAATATCGGCTCTTTTGCATAATATACTTACACGGTATTCACTTCTTTTTCATCAACTTTTTTTCTTTTTAATCCTAATAAAGCGTTTGTATTACACAATCGCGTTCTGGCAGTTGACGGACTTTCATCGAACCATCTGCTCCACATGAAAACAATCTACCCGCGGAATCCACATGTAACTGAGTAACTCCCTGGCAACAAATGATAACGTTATCTCTGTTTCGTGTTTAAACGAATTGGTAATTGCAATATTACAGTACCTGCCCTATGTTTTTGAAGAAACTAGATCGTGGATGTTCACTAGGAAACGAATAAAGGAGAGAATGGACGGTCAAACCCCATATCTGTGGACAAAATGTTTGCTCATTACAGTATGAAAACGAAGGAATGTATGACACCTCATTGAGAAGTCACGATTTGAAAAGATAAATTCTTTTACCTTAATATCACCATCACCTGCCCCACTAACGAAAAATTCCTCGTGCGGATCAAGCGCTAGACATTTGATAGCTGATTCGTGCGCTTGGAATCTCTGCCTTTGTTGCCGTTGTCGCACGTCAAATATATTAATGTCACCTTTTTTGCCGCCGCTGATCAGCAGCTGATGTTGCGGTGCCAAGATTAACGCACTGGCTCCCTGATCATGACACATGAAGCCTGACAAAATATAATCGCACCGTAATTAATGAAAGAATAATTATTTGTTAAATATATGTATGTGATTATATATCAAATATTTATACCTTGTACAAGAGATTTGTTTTGCGGAAGTAATGTGTCCCATAACGCTACGTTCCGTCCTTCTGAGCCATGACCCGCGGTGGCTACAAGACTACATGCGCCAAGAAAGACGAAATCCGAGGTCACTTTGCTGTGGCACTGGTAAGTCTGAAACAGATTTGACAATGCCGGTAAGATATAAATATTGAATGATATACTCTCAACATTTTTTTGATAAATTACAAGATTCTTACAAAGAATGGTCGAGCTGTTCCTTCTCGGCAGGCCACTTGGAATAGACTCAGATGACCATCGGAATCAGCCACGCCGAACTTATTGCCGTGCTGAGAAAAACGCACGCGAGTCACTTTGGCAAAAGTACCAGGTGCTCTCGGAGTAGCAACGGCTGTCTGATGTCCCCACTCCCATAATGATACAGAACCATCTTGTGATCCGGTTAAGTCTGATATCGCCACATAAAAAAGTGATAAACACGTTAATTACTTCAAAATTTCTGCTATTTCAGTATGGTCATGAAAAAGAAAAATTCGTAAGACGTATATTCGTGTGCTTATCAGGGTAACAAATATACTCACATAATGGTAAAAGTGGGTGGGAAGAGATTCTTCTGATTCCATCGATTTTATGTTTCAGAATCTGTCGGAATAGAATATAATCGATTGAATTTACAAATGAAAAGATTCAAGATAAAAATATATACATTTATAGATGTAATATTCCAGCAGAATTAAACGTAACTGCATAAACACATTCAGTAATATTAAGTATTATAACGCAGTCTGGGTGTTATGTTAACGCAAAGGTTTAATGGAGTTGCATATAATAAACATGTAGCATGCGTTTCAAACATTGCAGCGAGTTTCCAGTTAAAACAATTTGTAACTAATATTCGGCTGAAACTTTTCGGCCTACTAGCTTGCGGAATTAGCTGTTCTAACGTTTATCTCTACGGGTTAGCGGTTTGTAAACGTTGAATTAACATGTGGGCATGTACACGAATGTGGGGGTTCATATTAGGCCTGTTCTTTTTGGCTAAACTTTTGCACCAGTTCATCTTTTTTCCTTTTCTATCCGGAAGGAAAGAAGAGGAAGAAAGATGAACTGATGCAAAAGTTCAGCCAAAAAGAACAGGCCTATTGTACAATATAACGAAATGTAGTAGATCTCTACACATCCAAGTCATAATCCTCGTACTGACAGAAAAGTGTAATGTTTAAAATTGAATACATTATTTGTGAAAAAAAATTATATGTACAATCAGTCGAGCAGTTTGCATAGTACATGCATTAAATTTACATCCAATCATATTCATTTAATATATTCAACGTAACTTGTGATAAGAACAGTGTGTTTTATTCATGAACTATAAATAACATCTATGAAAATATTCAGGAGCAGATGAAACATATTTGCCAATAAAGTATGTACTAATATTTATTTTTTTATAAATCTTTCTATCATATTATGATATACTAATAATGTAAGCAAAGAAAAATACGAACCAATGCATTGTGCATATTGAGCTCTTAGATAAAATGATAATGGCTAAATATTTCTAAAACAGATCTTACGGTTAAACTGTAAGATCCTTTGGAAATTCAAGATATATCTGACTTGCAATATATATAAAAAATTAAAAAATGTTCTTAACAATTTCAGAAATTCTAATTTTTTGTTTAGATAATCTTAGATTTTCACAATTAAATTGCGATAAAACCGTTATAAATGACGTTATTACGAGCTTTAACATATTACAAATCAGATACCTGCTTGTTACTCAAAAAAGTTAAACATGAAATTTGCACTAGGATAAACTAGGGTCTGTTAGATGTAAATCTCACCGGCTTTAATAAGTGTTTGCTCCTATCGGCAACAAATTGACAGAAACGCAGGTCGTGGGAGCCAGGAAAAGCAGGCATCCCCTTCATCTGAGCGAGCGAATGAGCCGCCAGTTCAATGACGCAGACCAAGTTAGATGTTAGGCAAGCATTGAACAAGCAACATTGTCTCCGTCACCACTTGTGCTACCCTAACCGAGTATACCACATTCACGACTTGCAAGGCTTGTCTCGCAATGTTTTTCTCTTTTTCTCTCTCTCCTTTATATTCATTTACGAAAAATGACTTATAAGAAAATTGCTATACTTTTCTTTCTAGAGTTTAATGGACAAGTGTTATTGTTAATGATTTCGATTAGTCGAGAGAGAAATAATCAGATTGTCAACAAACTTTACTAGTTTTATACAAATAGAGATATGTGATAAATTTGTTTCCAATATTTATCATGTAAAACAAGCAAGCCTTGAATTCAGCCGTATCCTGATATGTGAGACAGTGCACATTTTGGTCTTAATATATATATCATGCAATGAATGATTTTTTTATTATCTTTGGTGCAAAATACTGCTTCTAGACTCGTATCATTTTGACTGTCAATGTATAAGTATTGTCT